GATGACAGGCTGAGAGCCCTGGGGCTCTTTAGCCTGGAAAAGCGCAGGCTCAGGGGTGATCTGATGGCCACCTATAAGTTTATCAGGGGTGACCACCAGCATCTGGGGGACCATTTGTTCACCAGAGCGCCCCTAGGGATGACGACTAGGTCGAACGGTCGTAAACTACTACAAGACCGTTTCAGGCTGGACATAAGGAAGAATTTCTTTACTGTCTGAGCCCCCAAGGTCTGGAACAGCCTGCCACCGGAGGTGGTTCAAGCGCCTACATTGAACACCTTCAAGAGCAAACTGGATGCTTATCTTGCTGGGATCCTATGACCCCAGCTGAATTCCTGCCCTTTGGGCAGGGGGCTGGACTCGATGATCTTCCAAGGTCCCTTCCAGCCCTAATGTCTATGAAATCTATGTAAACAAATACAAACCTGGTGCCATAGCAGTTCAACTTGGGTGTAATGGCCTCTACATCAAACTTGATAAGGAATTCACTTGGCAGATAAAGTTGTTAAACAGCTCTGAAAGACTCGGGTCCCAATACTCACCTGTCTGGCAAATTCAGTACTGAAGAAATGAAGGCAGCCCTTTAAGCTTTTAAAGACCAACAAATCATCAGGACGCTGATGACCGGGCGTTCAAGGTCTTATTGACCATGGCCAGTCTACCTGTCCCTGACTTTCTGTCCCTCATGCTTCCAACATATGACTGTTGCAACACTTAATGCGTCACCATCATCAGCAAGTTACTTAAACTATACTTTTCAAAGGCCATCGCGAATTCAGATTCTCATATTCTGGATGCCCAGCATGAGACTTGGGCGTTGACCCAGAAACTTGAGAGTTTAATACACAAAAGGTTGAGTATTCACAGTTGCAACTGAAGGTAGCAGATGTGCTCAGAATGTATTGCATGCCATAACGCCAAGTACAGGTTTCCCTCGCTGTATGTGGATTTTGTGTGTGTGAATTCGTTCTTATGCAGTGAGCCTTTTTATACCAAAAAATCATTATCTGTGAGGTAAATTCACTCTTATGCTGTCAGTGTGGTGGAAGCCTACAGTCAGCTGCTTTGTGCAGTGCATTGTGGGAGTGACGTGCACCAAGATATAGCTTCCTGTGTGGATCTGTGCTCCTCACCCATTTGTGACACCATCTCTGTAGTTGCCATTCCCATTATGATAGTGCCCTTTTCTTGTGTATACTGTCTGCTGTTGGTGAATACCAAAATTGTCTTGTAACAGTAGTAGAAATGGGTTTGGGGGTCAGTACAGTCAAGGTCTTGGCATGTATCCCTATTTGTTGCTTTGTAAAATGGGTTCCCTTTATGCAAATTTGAGTTATGCACTGTTTTCCAGGAATGCATGGATAGCATAAAGCAAGGAAAACCTGTATTCTGAAAACACAGGTGCTGGCTAAGTTACATTTTTACCTTAATCTCTATTGTCAGACAATAAAAACAATATATTATAAACAGACACGGGATGGAGGGAAGGTAAGAACATACCAGCAATGACCAACAAGATGAAACAAATAGGATGTTAACACCCTTATTTTTTGGAGTGGATAATAAATGGAAAGAGAAGTAAAGAGCAGGGGGAGGGGACTAAGCAGAGGAGAAAAGGGATATTCATGAAATCAAAGCATATTTTTGAGAGCAGGGCTGCAGATGTTCAGAACAGCATAAGCAAGATCCAGTCAGAATTGCAGAAAGTTCTCCGCATGGCCAAAAGTCTGCTGCTGCCAGTTGGAGTCTCTGGCTGGCCCTTCTTTGCAGTTTTCTCCAAAGCCACCATGTAGCATGTGTATTAACTCCTGGGAGAAGGGTGGAGAATGTTACTGCAGAGATCCTGCAGCCTGTCTTTAAGTAAAGGGGCACAAGTACCATACCTGTGACTCCTGTTCTCTGGCTAAGGGGAGGAGGGGCATGCTTCCCTTAGGACACAGCCATATTGCTAATACTGTACTAGGTGCTTTGCAACCATACTCTTTCTAAAGCCAAAGAGCTGCAAAAGAGTAGAAGATGAAAGATTAATATACCTGTTTGCTGGAGTGGGCTGGCCTCAAGCTGCAACGATCTGGGAATGAGAGCTCCCCTGTAAAGACAGATTAGAGTTTGTAATGGGCCTGACAGACCAGCAATGCTACTTTTCCATATTACCTTGCTCTTCCCTCCCATTCGCTCTAGCCTTGTCTCACTATTCTACAACCCCTTCTCTAGAGGTGAACACACAAGTTTTATTATAAAACGAGTTGCTAGAGTGATCTGTTATAGAATTTACATGAGATCATCTAGTTTGACCTTCTGTATATCACAGACCATTAAATATCAGCCTGTGACCTCTGCACTGATTCAGTTACTTGTTTGTCTAAAGACCATCTTCCAGGAAGATATGTAATCTTGATTTAGAAGATATAGAGAAATGAGAAGTCTCCCAAAACCTGCCATTTCCCTGGGTAGTTTGTTCCAATGGTTACTCATCTACTTTGTCAAAAATGTGTGCCCCATCTCCAATTTTAATATGCCTGGCTTCAACTTCCAGTCCTTGGTTTTTGTGACATCTTTCTGTTTGGATTTAGAGCAGCGGTTCCCCATCTGGTACTTGTACCACCAATGGTACCCAAACAACTCGTCAGTGGTACACGTTAACAGATTTATTATCACTAATGTACTTTATATGACAAATTTGCTAGTGGTACTTAAGGCTGTATCATTTTAAATTGGTGGTGTGCAATCTATCAGAGTTTAGGAACTGCTGGATTATAGTACTTCTGTACATGGCTTTGTCTCCCTTTTTAAAAGAACCAAAACGCTGATCAAATCCCCTTTATCATTTTTTGAGATGCTAAGGAGGCTAAGAGCCTTACATTTCTCACTAAGGAATTTTCTGCAGCTCTCAAAATTTGGAGGCTTTTTTTTTTTTTTTTTTACACACTACCCCCAATTTTTCTACATTGGTATCCACTTTCTAAAGACAGAATTATACACAGTGGGTATGTCTACACATGCTATTAGCACGCAGCAATAAAAACTGGCGCATATTGCACTGGAGTTCATTGCTCCTGGGTGCTGCATTTATAGGCTGAGCTGGGTCAGAGCAGCCCCAGCTGACAGGGGGCCTGGGGGAGTCGGTCTTCCAGTCTGGGGCTGCTCTGACCTGGCTCAACATGCTGCGGAGGGGCTGGCTAGGGCACAAGAGTGCTCCAGTACAGGGCTAGCTGGCAGACAGCACTGAAGCACCCTCGTGCTCCAGCCAGCCACGTTGGCATCTACAAGTGGTGCAGCAAAGTAAAAAAACAACAAACAAACAAACAAAACCTCCACAGGAGGATTTACAAGTACTATCCTGATGCAGAGATAATTAGTTTTCTGTGGCCTGACAGTTGCATGTATAGACACAAGACGTTTACTGCAGAACTAATTGGTCTACTCTGCAGCAAATATCTAGTGTAGGTATGCCCTGTGTTTTCATATTAGTCCTCCAGTGCTGCATAGAGAGGTAAAATCACCTCCCTACCTCTAATTGCTACTATCTCATTTTATACATCCAAGGCTTAGCTCTTTTGCCACATCATGACTATTTGCTATTCTACTATGCCCCTAGGGCAATTGCTCTCAATCTCTTCAGACTCGAGGGTCCCCTCAGAAAATGCTAGCTTTTAGTTCTTTCTCTCTCTCTCTCTCTCTCTCTCTCGTCAAAAAAAAAAAAAAAAAGAGCACAAAAGATTAGAATGTTTTTAACACTAAGGATTCCTGTTTGAAATCTGTGGGTTTACCTTATAAGTTTATACACGCCACAGCTAATATTCTGTGGCACCCCACAGTACCCTTGAAAGGATTTCAAGGCATCCAATGACAAACTGGTTAATGATCACTGTCCTAAGGTATGGACAGATGTACATGAAGTACTTTAAATGCAACATTTACTAGAAGGGCTTCTAATTTGGAACACACTAGTACTCTACAAATGTACTGGCCTCTTCCAGCTGAAGCACCTCAAGATGTACCAGGTCCAAAGCTGCTGTGCTGATTCATAACTAGGGAGCAGGTGATCAGTTATCCCAAGATTTCTTCCACAATTCCCCAGAGGCTTCAGAGGATGGCCGAATGGATGTGCCAGATCCCCAGGGTTATCAGGTCCTATAGTACTTTCTGCAACTGCAGGGAGGTCAGTTTCGGGTGCGTTGCATTCCTAGTGGGAGCAGACAATAGATGTCTGCCTCCCCAGCCTCCAGTCTCTCTCAGAACAGCACAATGATGTACTGGCTCTTCTCTCCAGCTCATGTGCATATCTGGCATAGTTTTCACCCTTTTTTTGAGCATGTTTGCCTCTCCAATCCATACCAAACTGGCCCTGTTGCTCCAGTGGCAAGCTACCAACATAAATTACATGTTTGAGAGAGGGCAATGGAAGGGCAGCAAAGCACTAATTTCCTCTTTTTGGGTCCTCCCATCTCCATCCTGGTTCTTACTGATTTAAAAAAAAAAAAAAAAAAAAAAGTCTAGGATTTGGGATTTTGCTCTGCTCGGCATCAAAGTTTTTTCCCCAGCACTGGGCTGTAGCAGGGTGGGGGAGATGCCTGCTCCTCACAGTGGGGGAAGGGAGCGAGGGAGTTGTGTGACCAAGCTGTGCCAGTGCCTGTGCTCACAGGGGCAGGGCAGTCAGGAGACCCTTGCAGGGCTGGGGGGAGCAAGGGGCTGTGGGTCAGGAGTGAGGGGTACCAACAGGGCTGAGGGACTCTGCATGGGGAGCGCAGGGAACAATCAGTGCCAGGGGGCTGTGGGCTGGGAGTGAGAGGTATCCACAGGGATTTGGGGGAGGGAGGGGGGCTACAGGCTGGGAGTGAAGGGTACTAGCATGGTCTGGGGAGCAGGGGACTGGGTCAGGAATGAGGGGCAGCAGCAGGGCTGGGGGGGATTGTGGCTTGGGAGTGAGGGGCAGGGCACAGGCATATCACTGCCCTCTCCCACCCAATCACATTACCCTCACCCCCTCCCTGACAGGTGTTCTCTTTTTTTGAAATGGGAAATATGGTAACCCTAAGCAACTCCCCATCCTGCTCTGGCAGGAGACAAGTGCTACCTGAAGCACTTCAGAATTGTTCATCTTTTGTCCAGTGTCACTTATGATATGATCTGAACTGATTTATAGCAATATAGTACCATGCACAGTGTGTCCACTTACTTTTTAGAGTTTTAAAGCACATGAAATTCTATAAATGTTGCATATGAAATAAATCTCAAGAGTCTGGACAGGGTCTTAGTGTTCCAGAATTGTACAATTTTTCTATTCAGTAGGAATAGTCTGCATTTGGCTATCCTAAAAATCATTTTATTTAGATGAGGGCCAGCTTAACAAATTGTTGTGATCATTGGATGTTACAGCCTTGCCTTCATCCTTATTTGACATGACACATTTTTGTAGCATCCAAATCATTTATATAGGTGCACCAATAGTGATTTTTCTTTGGGGGGGCCTGATACCGATGGTCGATATTTAAGGAGGCTGATACTGATCCGATTTCTGATACAGCTGCCTCAAGCTGGTAAATCTACTGTGGTGGAAGGGGCATGGTGGGCGGAGGCAGACTAATTCCCCCCCAGCGGTGAGGGAAAGCGCAGGGGCAGGTGCTGCCTAAGGGGGGGGGGGTGTCAGAGCCACAGCTCTTGCGGAGCGGGGGGTAGGGGGGGGAAAGGCAGCTCCAGCTGCTGCTAGTACCCTGGGACCGTATGGCCCCCCAGACCTGCACAGGGTGGGGCAGGCTTTTCTCAGTGGGGGCTGGACTCGGAGCCAGCAAATTTTTGCCACCGCCGCCAACCAGTCCTGGCTCAATGCCCCATGTCCACCCATGTGCTGGGAAGAGCCAGGCTGCACCGGGTGGCTGGCAGCAGCAGTGGTGAAATTTGGGGTGCATGCAGCATCCCCCCCCCACCCCCCCAGCACTGCTGACACCTGCTCCGAGCCCAGCCCCTGCTGAGAAGAGACCTGTGCAGCCTCGGCTGCAGCCCACCCAACCCTGTACAGATCCAGGGGGCACCCCCCCATGCCCTCCCGGTGTGCAAGCAGTGGCAGAAGTGGCAGCCCCTCAGGCAGTACCTGCCCTGCCCCCTCCCTCGCTGTTGGAGGGTATTTGATCTGCCCCCTCTCCCTCCCCGCTCCCCTTCTACCACACCAGACTTACCAGCTGGAGGTAGCTCTCCACGCTGCCAACTGTGTTCCTCGCTGCCCAAGTGCTGTGCTGTGGTTGCACGCAGCACGGGCATTTATCGGCCAAATTATCAGTCCCATCAGGCCCCTGATTCTAAAATTCTTAGCATTTTCTAATTTTTCAATGTTAAATTTTCAACTTTCACTATATTCTTTTAGAAAGGGGCGATTCTTTTTATGCACTTTCCTAGACTATTTTAAAGAAACTGGAAAAAACCCCCCAAAGTTTTATCACATGACGCTGTATTTGTATCCCGATCAGCTCATCAGCAAGACAGAAATGCTAAGAAAGTAACTGACAGTCATAATAAGTTGTCATCCTCTGTGGACTGGCACTAATGGAAGATTAAGAACCAGGGAGACTGGGGTTAAAAAGAAAAAGAAAAAGACGAGGGACACAAACTCCATCAGCAAAGGTCACATACTTGCTGGCAGCAGAGGACTGAAGAGATGCCAGGATTTCAGGTTTCATTTTATGCTCTGGAGAACAGTGTGCTCTTGGGGGCATAGAATCTCTTACCAGTTTCACCAATGACTTGATTTCTTCTGTCTTGTCCATGTCCTGTCTATTCTCCACCTCCAGGTGCTTGACCCAGCACCTTTCTTCTCATGCAATTAGTCTCTTTTTGCCCAGCTAGAACCAGTTTTGTCCCTACTTTTTGGCTTTTTCAGATCCATCTTCCCTCTTTCTTTCCCCCAGCTCAGTGATTTCTAGTCTTTGCCCTGACTCTCTTCCTATTCACTTCCTCAACTGATGTCAAAATCCCACTCCACACTAACTCTCATCTTAGCTCCGATATCCACTCTTTATCCAGTTGTTCCCAGTATCTACCCTTTTCCTGCCTCTAGTCTCCATTTCTGCCTCCTATCCAGGCCCTCAGGGGTAATCTATTTGTTACCCCATTTCTCTAGAACAAGCTACATCAGCCTCTTTTTTTTTTTTTTTCCCCCTAACTTATACTTGGGACACAGAACTACCTAATCGGGAATGACTAGGTGCCAGGAAGGGGATTTTTGAGGACAAGTGGCAAGCTCTTGCTCTCTGTTTCAGTGACCAAGGCAGATAACTTATGAGCAAACATTCTAGGAAAATTCTTGTTTGTTTTCCTGAGTTGAAACTTCCACTGTCATGTAAGATTGTAGGGCTAGAAGGGACCGCAAGGATATCTAGTCCAACCCTGGGAATGCACTCGTGTTTATAGGGATGGTGTCACAACATGCAGGGGTGTGGTACAGCTTAGTTGGGGGACATGTTGCAGGGTGCTTGTCACATAGCATGGGGAGCAATTCTCACATGGTGCAGTGTGGAACAGTATACAGTATCTGCCCTGCACTTGGGAAGTTATCGGCAACCAAGAAAAAGATCTTAAAATTGTAATTGCCTAGTTTCCTTAACAATGGGTTTCATCAGCTCACCTAAAACAATGCTAAGAAAAATGCTAGAGGTTCTTACACATTCCCTAATTGGACATCCCAAATTCCTGGGCATGTGTCAGTTTCAGGCATAATTCCCATTCTTCATTACCTATGTATGTTCTAAATCAGTGTTCAGTGCTGGGACAGTTGCAGTAGATCTTCCAATGGTAGTGACAAAGACTATGAAAAAGACAGTGTACCAATCATTAAGAGACTTTCTGTAGCTGCCCTGTAGATTGTACCAGCAACTTTCTGCCTCTGTGCATTTCAACACTATTGCCCCAAAACACTCAGACACTTTGTTGTCATTAACTGTCATATTCTCTTCTTCCTCAGTGACATCAGCTCTGTGCTGGAGAAATAACCATAAGGGATCATCATCAGAGGAATCATCCAGAAACACATCGCTTCCACTCCCCCCTTTCTTCTGCACACTCTCCTTGCTCCTGATTTGCTGGGAAAATACATCTGTTTCTTTGAAACCCCTCACCGTGGCCTGACTTTTGCAGAGGGAGGGGCTTGGTTATAAGAACAGGGCAGTGCTTTTTGCACCTGTTCTCCTTGGAACAAAATGGCAGGAGCCTCTGTCTTTCAGTGACACTTGGAGACCCTCACTCCTGCACCTTAAGTGGTACTGAGAATAAAGGGAGTCTGGACTGAATACCAATGAGAAAAGCAGTATGATGATGAAGGAAGTGTGCACAAGATTATTAGGCAAACTACCAGAACATGGTAGGATTATAGCACGGGGGGTGGAGAGGGAGAAAAATCAATTCCTACTCTAGCCCCTGCCAGCAGTTTCAGAAAATGTGGAACTCAACCTTCATCCTAGTCATTTTAAATGGTGAATTCCCTGCACTCTTCAGATGGAGTTAAGGTACATCTTCTTAACTGGCCTGGCTTCATCTGCCAGGCACTGAATTCCATGATGCTTGTCTGGTGGACAAGAGTGCCCCCATGTCCACAATGAGTTGTTTATAGACCATAATTAAGACACTCTGTAACCTCTGCCCTGGATAGAGCAGCACTTACCCCACTGTATTTTATATACATTTGGATACTACTGTAAGAGAGCCCAGGATTAGAAATAAGCAGATGTGCAACTATACCCAGGTTGCTGCTCACAGTTGGCAGCTATTTTTATACCTTACCACTAGGTATGTTGCCAACTGTGTGCCTGTGGACCTTTTACAAAAATGTTACCCCAGGACTGACAAGACTTAACCTGAGGTAAGTTACCAGAGTCTTTCATGGACAATTTTCCACTGAGTTAAATCATAGAGAAATTAGGGTTGGAAGGAATCTCAGGAGATCATTTATTCTAAACCCCTGCTCAAAGGAGGACCCATCCCTAACTAGATAATTCCAGCCAAGGTTTTATCCTGCTGGGTCTTAAAGACCTCCAAGGATGGAGATTCCACAACCACTCTGGGTAACCTGTTCCAGTGCTTCACTAGCCTCCCAGTGAGAGAGTTTTTTCTTAATATCCAACCTAAATTTCCCTTGCTACAACTGGAGACTACTACTCCTTGTTCTGTCATGTGCCACCACTGAGAACAGTCTAGCTCCATCTGGAACCAACCTGCAGGTAGTCTAAGGCTCCTATTAAATCCACTCTCAACCTTCTTTTCTCCAGACTAAATAAGCCCAGTTCCCTCAGCCTCTCCTTAGAAGTCATGTGCCTCAACCCCCTACCCATATTCACTGCCCATTGCTAGACTCTCTCCAATCTGTCCATATCCTTTCTGTTGGGGGGAGGGGGAGATTTACACACTACTTCAGATGTGGCCTCACCAGTGCAAAATAAAAGGGGAATAATCACTTCCCTCAATCTGCTGACACTGTTCAGGAAGAATGAGGTGACCTCCTCTGTTGCTTCCTCCTGTTAGTGTTTCCTCCAGGTCAGTCATTTCCCCACTTACCTCAGGGCTTTGGTCTCCATCCCCCAGTAAACCTAGTTTAAAGCCTTCCTCACTAGGTTAGCAAGCTTGTCTGCAAAGATGCTCTTCCCTCTTTGTCAGATTCCCATATCTTCCTAGCAATCCTTCTTGGAATGACATCCCATGATGGAAAAAGCCAAGTTGGGTATATGTATCCCAGTTTAGGGGTTCTGAACAGTTCAAATGCTATTTTAACTGGTATAAGAGGGGTCATCCATCTAGGCTCCTTGTCTTAGTGAGAGACTAAAGCAGCATAAACTGATTATTATGACAGGTTTTTTAGACCCCAAATGATACACTTGGCTTTTTCTTGTATTTTTCTAATTGCCAAGACTCTTGCTGCAATAAAGAAACCTTAACTGGACATTGCTTCCTAATCTATAAGGCCATACTGGTGCTAACCAGCCAACATGCCTGCTGTCAGGCTTAATTCCTGCACCAAAGAGATGCCCCCCTCAGGGCTCCTTCTGCATCCTTAGGAAACACCCAACCCCTTGAGGCTTCTGTCCTGTTCCCACAGAAAATACTTAAAACACAGAAGGCATTTCTGACCTTCTGTCCTGCAGTGTGCTGGCTCATACCCATTTCTGAGCAGCAACAATCCACTTCTTGCCCCAAAGGGATGCCAGGTGATGGACTCTCTGGTGCTATGTCTGGTATCATTGCCAGCAGGAAGCATGGCCCCTTCTGGCCACTGGGACAGTTAGCTGGAGCTGCAGCCAGCACTGAAATAAGCAGTATAAAAGTTAGTCCCTGTAAGCCATACATGATGGTATCTGCAGAACAAAGCCTGGAATTTCCCTCTCTCATCTGTGAGCATCTCAGCCCTCTCCCTGCTGACCCACATCTGAGAACCTGCTCAGGTTTTTCCCATTTCTATATGTGGGGTGGAGGGCAGAGAGAGAAGGGCACAAAACAAGAAAACCAGCCATGGGATGCTGGGCCAGTTGATGCAGAAACTAGGGAAAACAACACATTGTGCAGAAAGGTGGCTCCCCTCAGTCCAGAGTACTTCACAGCCAGTTAGTCATAAATTTCAGCGTGACAAATGCCTTCTACACAAGAGACATGGGCAGCACTACTGCCCAGATGCAGAGATGAGAGCTGAGCCCCTTTATTGCAGTCCCCATCTAAGAAACTATACCCGGGCCCCATCCCCACCCCCATGCCACCATTAGGCACAACTGACCTGAGTGCTGATGGCATAGCAATGAAGAGTAAAAACTATCCAGCCAGGGTGGTTTGTTTTCTCTCCCTACCACTGGCACAGAACTCAGCCATGGGATCTGCCATGTCAACTGCAAAGCAAATATAGCCAGTGTACCCTGGTGGAAGGAAGAGATAAGTCAAGAACAATGGCAAACCTCTTCCCTTGCAGGCTACAGGACCCCACCTTCCACATGGACCCTTGTCTCAGCTATGTCATGCCCTTCTTTCTCTAGAACAGGGCTGTCTACCTTCCAAGTAGCTGGGGGCTGCACACTATGCAGGCCCCCAGGCTGCTGCTATACCTTGTGGGCACCTTTTCCTACCACTGCAGTGCACACTCCCAGACTCACTATTTGCTTCCTGAGCTGCACTGCACTGTCCTGCCCCATAAGGCAGATGCAGAAAACAACAGCTGAAGGAGAGAGTTGCAGCTGGAGTGATAGGGGGAGCTCTGGCAGTGCAGGAGCCCCAGGGCGACAATTTAATCTCTCATGGCTGGCACGTGGCCCGCAGGACACCAATTGGACAACCCTGCTACAGAGTATTTCAGACACAGCTTTCCAGTCACAGACTCTAGCTCCTGCATCCTCCCCACTCTCCCACAGGGCATCTTGGCACCTTGGCCTCCCTTCTATCCCAGCTCCCTGCTCATGCCTATTCTATTCCAGCTGCAGCCCTCCAGCCATAGCTTCCCTGTTCATACTCCTGAAGAATGTTGTTGCTGTCGCTTTCCACCTTTTAACAAAAAGTATCCTCCCTGACTCCAGCAGCAGCTCTCTCTACTTTGCTACCATCAAGAAAAGACTTTTCCTCACCCAAGTGAAGGAATGAAGAATGGTGTAGTGAGGGAGCAAGCTAGAAAGTAGATGTTTTCCACGCTTTTGTTTCCAGCCATCTTGGTGCTGTCTGTTGTGCCAGTCAGGTGACTGAAAATAATGGCTGAAAAAGAAACAACACCAGGAACCCATATTTCATACAAATCTGGACAAGAATAAGCTGTCTTGATAACAGGGCTCAACTTGTACCATGGTTAAGGTTAGCTGAAGCTTTCTTTTGTTAGGTATACTTCTCAACATACACACAGAAAAAGTTCAATTAGCCTGAAAAATTACTCTGCCAGCTGAGCGGTGGGAAGACAAAGGTCTTTTGGTGTGAGAATTCAAGAAATACAAGTTTTCAACAGAACTGCTTTAAAATATTCAGAATACAATTCTCTTGAAAGGTCAGAGGGCCACAAAGGTTTATATATTAACAACATATCCAGTATACAAAGTCTGGAATTTGTGATAATGGGTTCCTAAGATCCTGATCTTCATAAATGGGCATACAATTAAGCATGTGATGAGCTAGCACTGTGGCAGGACAGCAGATGACAATTACATTCTCTTGGAAGCATGGAGCTCTCAGGCAGCTGCAGGGACAGGGGCAGAGCTAGCAGAAACAGGGTTTCAAGACTATCTCCCCACCCTGCCTCTATATAAGCGTTGCAAACATAGGGAGAACCAAGCTTGTGCTGATAAAACCTAACGTTGTCTCTGGGCTCAGAACAAAACCTGCTCATCACTCTGGTGTTCTGTGTCCAGAACTAGTATCTCAGGAAGCTTGTAGCTACAGGGCCACAGTAGCATACCCAGGGTGCTGAGCCCAGCTGGTCATGTTTTCTCCTAGTATCCTATACTGGCTAAGGCATGAGGATGATATGCTCATGTCAAACTCAAAAGAGCAAACCTTTTCTGAGAACTCTGAGGCTCCCCTGTTGAGCTCTTGCCTTGGCTACAGGTTAAGAAGTTCAGGCAACATTAATTCCAAAAGCCTACAGGTGGAAAAGCTATCAAAGACTACAACAACATCCCATCTCTAGTTTCACTTATCCTATACTGGCTAAGGCATGAGGATGATATGCTCATGTCAAACTCAAAAGAGCAAACCTTTTCTGAGAACTCTGAGGCTCCCCTGTTGAGCTCTTGCCTTGGCTACAGGTTAAGAAGTTCAGGCAACATTAATTCCAAAAGCCTACAGGTGGAAAAGCTATCAAAGACTACAACAACATCCCATCTCTAGTTTCACTGGTGCTCCCTTCTGCTCTCAGCCTA